TTGACTGCTGCCCCCCTTCTCCGTGGGCTCCCACCCTTGGCTGTGGCTCACAACCCGCGCACCCTTTCGCCTCTTCCCTCGTCCTAGTCCAGCCGCGGCCATCGCCGACCCTCGAATAAATAATAAAAGCAAGTTGCGTCCACCTTTGGATGACTTACCTCGCGGTCTCTACCCTTTTCACGGGGCGAGGGGGGGGGGCATTTCAAATTGCTGTCATATAAGGTCAGGTTGGAAGGAGTGATCACCAAGAGGCACCCAGGATATTGTTTAGTCAACAAATGAATGAAAACCATGGCTTAAGAGTCGTTGCTGAATGTATAAGATACTAAAAAGTGGGAAAGGAAGGTGCTAATAACTTATGGTTTTCTGGACCAAACATAATTTATGGCCTTTATAGACCTAGTGAAAGAAAACGGCGCACAGTTTATTCTAATCGTCCACCTGAGTCATATGGTTCAATTTGGGTTGCCAAAGAGGCTCTATTTGGAGCACTTTATCAGGCCTTTCGGTTTGTTTGCTTTGGGTTTTTCGAATCACATTAGCCTTAATTCCCGCTGGCTTACCCACTTCTATGGGCAGGCTTAGGATCTTGGCTGCCTATGGCTGTTAATAAATCACGGGGGTTGTTGTCAACAAAGAAAGACATCTTGACCCTTCCATACAACTATTTTTCAATGCTTTTATTTCTACATGTCTGCACTCTTTCCCTATACACTGTATGGATACATGTGTTTCTGTTTGGATACATGTGTTTCTTTTTCAGAGAAGTGGGTTCAAGGGACAGCTAAATCAATATGTATGTTGCAAATTTGAAATGTTGTTACATAACACCAATACAGTTTCATTCTTGGGCATATAAAGTTTAGGAGGAAATAAAAAGTGACAGAATGTAAATAAAACACATACAGAATGCCTACGCTGGGGAAGAAACTTGTAGTAACTTTAATATAGTAACCTGATGGATTACAAAAGTAAAATCCTGCAACTAAGCATTCTGCTCAGTAAATTCTTTCAGATAAAATAAGTGGAATATGAAAAGTGATGATGTTTATTCTTTGAGTAGCTTGGAAATGGGGAATAACAATTGAAAGTCATTGTTTTATATGTGTATAAATAGTATATTTTATTTGACTTGACATAGCTGACATATATCTTCCTCAGTTTTGTTAGTCAAATAAGTCAATTTGTGTAGTTTGAATTTATTCTTTTTAAAATTGTACTGGCTTCGTTATAAAACATACTGGGACCCCAAATTTCTTTCTGGGTATGGTATTTAAGGTTGTTTAAAAACAGCTCTTCATCATAAGCACATTAAGTCAATATGATGTGCAGAATCTATGTAACATAGGAGTCCTGAACCTTATGTTCTCTGATGGTAAATGCTTCAATTTAAATATTTAACCCCAATTAAGTCCACATTTTTAGCAATGTGATGTGGGACAGCATCTTTCCAGAGGAGTGAGTAATCCCTTAAAAGCCAACTAATCAAATGCAGGGATATTCCTCATGCAGCTCTGCTAAACGGAAGCAAATAGCTCACTTTATGGTACAAAGACGGAAGAGGATGGCTTGGAAACCCAAACCCCCATTAAACAGTGGACAGATACAAATTAAAATTAGGATTGAAAAAATTATGGCTGGATCACTAAGTCAAAATATTAAATTTATTTTGAGAAGCATGTTTATACATTTTTATAACAGCTTTTGTATTGGTGTTAGAAAACTGGAAGAAGGCTTCACCGGATGTCAGTCATTACAGATACAGAAATGTCCAAAAAGTATATATAACCAATCGAATACTTAATGTCCTATCTTTCCAACGTACTCTGAAAGAAAAGATTTCCTCTCATTTTTACAAATAGATTTATTTGTAGCTTATTTTAAAGGAAATTTTAATGATCTTGATTTTTTATTATCAAAAGGTAATAGGAATATAGCTCAGCTAACACTCGGCCATTTGCCCCACAGCACTTGATCAAACATTTAAAAAAAACATACACCCTCTCTTATATTCCTTATTTTACAGGGTCGTTTCTTAAATTACATTCAATTGCGTGTTACAGTAGTAAGTCATTGCTCTGCATATCGCCATCAGAAAATACAGTAAGAAAAGCAGCCCCCAATCAAGGAATCTTAGCTACATTTTGATGTGGAGTGGCAACAGGATGAGTTCCTAACTGCTGAGATGGCTCTAACAATGGGAGTTAGGTTAAGAAGATGGAGCGTCTGTAATCTCTGGAACTGGATTTGATTCACTCGGAGAATAACAAATGAGATACAATTCAAAAGTTTGAGCCCCTAAGGAGGATGGACTTCACTTTCAGAAAGATGTCTTCCTGTCGTCCAGAATATTTTCCATCAAGAGCCATTCCAAACAAATGAGCAGCCTATCTTGTTCTCTAGAAGGTATAGCAATGCGCATCCTCAACCTCTTGATGCCTATTAGAAAGCAGTTTTATAAATAACCCGCATTGATCCTGCTGCTATTTTTAGCTCATTTGCCCTTGTTAGGTCTCTAAGAATGGAGACCCTCTAGGTAGCATCCTTTTTATGAATTGAGCTAATGTGTTCACAGCTCAACTTTTTGTTCTTCAGTTTGAGCACATACACTGGAACCTGGCCATATGTTTTCACCTACATCATAGTGCCCGAACCCCAAAAGACAATGATATGGAAAGACTCCAGCTTAATTATGTTCTCTTTGTCCTTCTATATAAAAAGGTTTTAGAAATGTAGATTATTCTTTTGAAGTCCATGGTAACAAATGTGAGATGACTACTGCATTTTGATTTGAATAGCAAGGGAATGTTGAGGCCCAGGATCTAAAAAGTTACTTATTGTTTGCTTAATAAAGCATTAGACTGTTTTATTTTTAAATTATTGAATTTATGCCCATATCAATGGGCAGGTCATAGAGAAAAAGCACTGTTAGGTAAAAATAGTCATTACATATGATTTCAAAAATAATAAAAATCTTAAGCTTAAAGGTGATTTATTTTGAAAAGGAAAAAAACTCACCTATGCACTTGTTTGGAAATCACTAGAAGTTCTGTGAATCTATTTCTTAAATATATTTAGTAAAGAAAATTTGGGGGTAGCAATAAGAGGTAAGTTTGTTTACCATTCACCAGAAAGAAACCCAGAGCCATAAGTTCTTATTTTTAGTATTAAAATATGGCTATAAAGGAAAAGAGTAGATGCCTTAAGGCAAATAGTGGAATGAGGAGTCATGGAAAAATAGGACTAAAGGCAATCTATGATGAAAAAACAAATGCAATTAACTTAGAATCTACTAATTTATTTCAGTCCATCTAGGGTTGAAGTTTACCTCTGTGAAGATAAGGTTACTAAAGTCTATTAACACCTTGCTGACCAGCTCTTTCGAGCCAGAATTTGCTCATGCGGCTGGCTACTTTTGTCAGCAAGGTGTTTAAAATTACTTAAATTAATGTAAGTGCAGACACTAGTTAATTTGTGACTGATCAGCAACGTTCGGACATGGAAACATGTATACTTATGACTGGCCAGCATTAAGATATGAGATAGAGAACAGACTTCCTAAGAACTTTTAATATATTTGCTATTTGCAAATAGTG